AATTTGTTGCCTTGTGAGTTGCCCCAAACCCCATCACTCTTTGTAAACTGTCCCTTACTAAGCTCTCCAGTTTCGTGGGTTTGAGCATATCATGCTTTCTTTCAAGACTGTAGCTGATAAATCAAGAAGGAAAAAGAAGGACAAATAGTGATTTAAAACTTCTGCATAGTAAAACAACCACACCACCAGCAAAGGAAGTGGGAGAGAGAAGAGAGAAGGAAGGGAAAAGTCACAAACAGGCAAATTTTTGTAATTCTCATACCTGACAAAGAATTACCATTCAAAATGCATAAACAACTACAAATCAATGAGAAAAATGGGGAAGAGATACAAACAGGAAATACACAGAGAGACAAAACTAGAATAGCCAATAAAACTCCAGAATCCCAGGGAATTATACATTTTCGATCCCTGTATAATTTTGAGCCTTGTCACGTCCCCCTCCTGTGCAGTTGTGGGTGGAGAAGTAGCGGGAGATCTGCCTGAGGCAGCGGGGGCAGAGCCCTCTACCTTCAGGCTTGTCTGGGAACAGCTGTGGCAGGGCAGTCCCTGGAGGGCAGAAGGAGAAGCTGCTGGGCGCAGACCCAGCCTGGGCATGTTGGAAAAGAAAGACACTGGCCCAACGTGATGTCACTTCTAGGCCAAGCCACCAAACAGGGGTTTAAAACCTAATCTCATTGCTGCTTCAGTCTCTCCCAGGAGTGGAATTTTAAACTGGAACAATCCCTTCTTTTCTTGTGCTAATAACCTCCTCTCCTTTCTAGTCTCCTGGCTCCTGTGTATAAAAATCTTCTATTATGGGCACTCCTTGGCGCTTCTTGGGAGATGCTTCCTGATTCATGAATAGCTTAATAAAGCCAATTAGGTCCTCAGATTTACTTGCATGTTTTTAATAGGCAGTATTGATGGAGTCAAGTGTCACAGGAACCTGGAAGGGATGGAGCTAGAGTGAGGACTCTTGCTCTTCAGAGATAGAGGCAAATGTGTGGACGAGGACAGATGATTATAAACTTCATGAGCAGAGTAGTAAATGGAGGTGGTTGGTCCCTGATTGTCTCTTATTTGATCAGACGGTGGGAAAGCGATAGAGAATGGTGTAGCTGCCTTGGGAGAGGCAGAAGGCAAGGCTCTTGTCCTGCTGAGGTTGAGGATAAGGACAGGTGGTCCCCTGACTCCGAGGTTCTTCTACACCAAATTGCATGATTTGGTCCAAACCAACCTTTCTAAAATTCTATAGCTCCCTCCTTAAGACTGTAGACTTCTGCCAAACTGGACAACTCATAATTTCCTCTTAAATAAATTGCCTCCATCTAGTAACATCACTATGCTAAAGTCCCCAACTGTTTCTGTTGGTAACCATGGTTATTTAAAATAAGTTGTATTCCAGTTTATTGAGGTAAAGTGACATACAGCACTGGATAAATTTAAGGTCCACAGTATAATGCTTTGTCTTATATATATTATGAAATGATTACCACAGTAAATTTAGATTATCATCTCATAGATACAGAAAAAAAGAAAAAGAAATTTCCTTGTGATGAGAACTCTTGGTATTCACTCTGTCTGTAACAACGTTCATATATGCCACAGGCACTACAGTCATCGCGCTGTACATTACAGTCCTAGCACTTAGTTATGACTAGAATTTTGTACCTTTCCACCACCTTCTCCACTTCCCTGCCCCCACAGCCCTGCACCCCCTTCCTTCCCCCCACACCTTTGGTAACCACAAATCTGACATCTTCTTCTATGAGTTTTGTATGTTGTTGTTTTAGATATCACATAGGAGTCAGATTTTACAATATTTGTCTTTCCCTGCCTGACTTATTTAACTTAGCATGATGCCCTCAAGATCCGTCCATATTGTTCCAAATAGCAGGATTTTCTCAATTTTTTTGTCTGGATAATATTACATTGTGGTGCATGTATGTATATATATGCACCACATCTTCTTTATCCATTACCCGCTAATGGACACTGAGGGTGTCCCTGTATCTTGGTCGCTGTACATAACGCTGCAGTAAACATGGGGATGCAGGTATCTTTTCAAATTAGTGTTTCCTTTTGCTTTGGCTATATCCTAAAAGGGGAATTGCTTGATCATATGAAAGTTCTATTTTTAATTTCTCAAGGAACCTCCATACCGTTTTCCATGGTGACTGTACCAGTTGACAGTCCCACTGGCAGTGCACAGATTCCCTTTTCTCCACATCCCCACCAACATTTGTTATCTCTTGTCTTTCTGATGCCAGTCATTCTACCAAGCATGAGATGCTATCTCATTGTGATTTTGATCTGCATTTCCCTGATGACTAGTGATGCTGAGCATCTTCAAAGAATAATTTTTTTAAGTGTTAGAAAAATAATTAATGGGATAAAACAATGATTTTTTTTAGTTTTCATAAATGTTAGGGATAAATCAAAAGGATATGCAAAGAAAAATAGGTATTTTTTAATAAAGTCACATAAATTTAGGTTAGGACTAAGGATTTACAAATACAACTGGAAAATTAATTAATTACCTGTATTCCATTATTGGACCCCCAAATTCAGTTCAATGCGACACACTGTTGAGTACCTGTTAGGCTCAAGGTACCATGTTTATGAGCAGGGAGAGGAGGAGTTGTGCAAAATACAGGAAGCCTTTGACCATGGAAATGCTGCATAAGGCTTGTACATAAAACAGCATTATTGCAAGTAATTTCAATCTCCAGCAGTCTGCACTTTTTCCGCAGGCATGAAGGTAGATGCATGATCACCAAGTAGGTGTGTTTTCCCATCGCAAATGACCTTCAGGTTCCCTTAAAGCAATGCAACTGCTCCCACTGCCTCACCTTTGCTTAATGAGAGCCTTTTCCTAAAGCCAGAGCTGGGTTAATGGACTGCGATGGGAGAAGATCAAACGTATTCTGTTTTACACCAGATTGCCTTTCTGCCTGTGGCTTTAATCACTCAATCCTACTCATATCTGCCATAATAACAATTATGGGTTTTCTACTGACTTCTTACCCAGGAGGATATGTCAGAGTATAGCAACATCTTCCGGAGAAAGAAAGGGCAAATTCTTAATCTTTCTCCAGCATTGTAGGTAATAATTTTCCTCCGCAAACCCCCAAGGAGTACTACCTTTGGCTTTTCACCCCCCACCGTTCCCACAGGTTCATGGCTGTGTTCTGATTTATGCTGTCTTCTATCCTCTTTCTTCTGAGATAAGTTTTAATTATGTAGACAGATTGTAAAAGTCTCTTTTTTCTTGTAAACAGCTATTTCTTTGTTCGTGGTAGATTTCACAGAGCTGGTTTCATCCTGTCTGAATCTTGTGTACCCAGGAGTTTCGTCTGTTCATTCTTTAACTGCAGCATCAAGAGAAGAGAAAACTGGCTTCTCTTCCTGGCTTTTCTTGAGGGAGGCAATCTTGGAACACCTCAAATTGCAGAGCTCCCTCGGGAAATGTTCTTTGCTGCACATGTTCAGAAAGCCCATTATATTTTAGTTTTGGATCAATGTACGAACAAAAAAGCACCATAAATAGCAGCCTGATGATACTCCTTGCCCTTCTTATTTAAAAACTTCCTTTACTACCAAAATCATGAAAATGCTCGAAGTCTTCAAAAGCACTTGTGGAAACGACAACAGTGGCCCTGTCCCCGGGGGACTCAGAAATGGAAGTGTGAAGCCCCTCCTCAACCAGGGCTGGTAACCATTCTCCTGCTCTGGCCCCTTCAGGTAGTAATACAAATATAAAGAAAAGATGCATTTATGATTATTGTAATTATTCTGCATCAACACTTTTAACTACTCGGATTTTTTTTGGATCAGGAGACTGCTCTACTACATCCACTTCTAATTCTGACCTCATAGATTACTTATGAAGCCCAACGCTTGTGTGAAAATTGGTTTTGCCAAGAATAGCTGAATATTATCCTTTAACCAGCCCAGCATTTTCCTACAGCAATTTTTAACTTTTACCTGGCACCTCACCAAATGTGTCTTAAAAAGAGTAAATCAATATTTTCCCAGAAGTTTTTGAGGCTTGTTTGGAGGAAAAGGAGGGAGAACCTACAGACACAGCAGTGTGTGTGGTATGCTGCCAGAGAGGAAACTTTTGGGTCATCTGAAGGCAAGCTGTGTGGCCTGCAGCCTAGAACAGAGCCCAGGTCTGCGGCCAGCATCCCACCCAAAGCCCTCAGTTCACGAGGAGCAGGGCTTCCGAACCTGGCTTCCAGTGAGGATGCAGAAACATACTGATATTTTTTTATGCAAGGTTTTGTGTGTGTTTATGTGTTCCTAAGGAGAAGCTTTACATTGTCATTCAATTCCCATACATGGATATGACTTTAACAGGTTAGGATTATACTAAATGAGATTATTCTAAAACAAAGTCATTTCGATATTTCTTTAAATAATCTTTTATTACTGAGGTGGATTTCTGTACTCCCTTGACATTGTGGGAGAGGCCTTTGAACTCTGACCTTTTAATATTTATCCTTTTATGCCTTTGAGGGCTTTTTAATGGACCCTTCCAGCTGCAGAAATCTAGGTTTACATGAGAGGAAAATGATAGAATGAACACTCTGCTTTTAAACTTTACATGTTTTTAAGACAGGAAGTGATGTTTCCCTTTAATCTGTGAACATGTTTGTCAAAACCCCTTCTTCAACAATTGAGTCTGACAGTATTCTTCCCCTCACAGTGATTTTAAAGTACCCTGGACCCTACTTGACTTTTTACAATGTAGGAGGGCTTTAGTCAGGCTCTACTTCACCTGTTTAATGTTAGGGTGTTACTTATTAACTGTAGGACAATACATTCCTTAGATAAGATAAAGGCTTATAATAGAAAATTGCCATTCTAGGGTGAGCCGCTACCGTCTCTTCTGTCTTCAGAGTGTTACGGTTCATGTAAGTCTTCAGTATTGTTCATACACTGCGTAGTTACGCCATATTTGTGAAGAAATATCAGCAAGGTACAATGTGGTTTGTTTGTTTTTTAAATTCTAGGCTGTTTATGGAGTCAGCGCTTAAGAGAAAGGACTGACACTCTATGGAAAAGCCAAACATGAGGTCTTCAGAAATGAGGAGAAATGCAGCCATCTGACACGGTCATGACCCCCAAACGCATCTTCCTCTCTGTGCTGGTGTTCGGAGTAGCAGGGTTGCTGCTCTTCCTGTATCTGCAGGTCCAGTTTGAAGAACAACATACAGGTACCGCATCAACTCTTTTTTTCCTATTTAATTATATTGGTCATTTTCAGTTAAATGAACTGCAATGTTTACAGATACATAGATGGAAAGTCACAGTATTCCCAACCATAAATTAGACCCAAGCTAAAAGCCCCAGCTTCTGTGCAGTTCTGCTGGACATCTCGGTGGCTTGGGACGAAATTTGGAATTTTTATTATCTGCAAGGAGCCATAAGGCCTGTGAGCCTGCAAGAGCTGCATGTAGAGAAGGTGTCTGAGCAAATGTGTAGCATTTATCTACCTCTGGTGTACCCACTAAGCATTGAGTACAAGCCTAAAAGGGGCTAAATATACAGCAAACTCTCTCTTTTATTTCCTTCTTAATGTTTGTGTTAATACTCAAAATAGGTGTGAAAATTCTTTACAACCTTTACTATAAAGCAAGTGTTGCAAACCTTTTCTGTATAGATTAGATAGAAAATACTTTAGGTTTTATAGGCCATACCATCTCTACCACAGCTATTTAGCTCTGCCAGTGTATCACAGAAACAGCCATAGATTATGTGTAGACAAAGGGACCTGTTGTGTCCCAGTAAAACTTTGTTCACAAAAACAGGCATTGGGCCGGATTTGGTCCACAAAGAGTAGTTTGCTGATCGCTGCTATACTGACCTTGTTCTCTCATCATTCAGTTCATAATTGCTGCTCATTGCAAACACTCAGTTCCTGTTAAAATGGATTATATTTAGGATAATAGGAAATGCGTTATGTTAGAATGATTAAAGGACATGTTTTATATCATCATAGAAAAAAAATATATATATATATATGTTGTGAAATTGAGTTGTTTTCTATTAGTAGAAATACACAAAGACTTATGGCTTAAGAAAAATAAATTAAAACCAAGAACAATTTCTTAATGGTTTCCAATTGTGAGCCATTTCTAAATTATTCTATATATAAAGCCCTTAAGAATCTATTCTGAAAGATAACTCAGTACTGAGTCACAAGTATCATTTTAAAACTTCTTTTCATTTTTGAATCCCTTTCCTTGGTTTATCCTCACATGCATTTGTATGTATTTAATTTACATAGCAACTTGTGAAAAAAAATTGCATATAATTATTTTCTAGAGAACATATGACATTGTCAAAACTTATTCTTAATTCCCATTGCAATTTACAGATGCTATAATATTTTCTAAGTTTTCTGTATCACAGCAATAATTTAGATACAACTTATAATTTTTAATGAAACTATCCATGATAAAACATACAGGCTAATTCCTCCTGCAGTGTAACTCCTAGCTTAGATCTTCTCACAAAGCAAATCTTCAGTAGGTTTTTATTGAATGAGTGGGTAAAACAATGAATGAACAGATTGAAAACTCACTGCAGACTACATACTGGACTGTAGCAAAGAAGGAAGAATCAAACAGATGGCATTACTCATTTTTGGGAGGTTTGCTAGTATCATAGTCTCATTAACAAATTTCCCAAGAAAAGGGTCACAATGAGGCTTCAATACATAAAAAAAATTAGTTGTAAGTACAGACTATGGGAGAAATGTTATGATTTAGTCTGCAAGAAACCACATGATATCTGAAGAAATAACCAAGCCATATTAATACCTTACCTATATAATGTAGTGTACAGAATGTGTCCACAAGCACCAAAAGCTACCATTTATTGAAAGCTTAATAAGTGCCAAATGTAAATATATGTATTTTTTTCTTCAATCCTAAGAATACCTTACTAGGTGTGATATTCTGTTTACAGATGGGAAATCTGAGGCTCTGGCAGATAAGGGGCTTAACCCAAGGCCTCATGCGTGGCCTGGTGCGCAGGGAAAGCCAGGATTGAAAGCCAGGTTGTGCCTCCTCCCCAGAGTCCCTGCCTCTGCCCTACGCGTTGCTTCTGTGGGGAGAGTAGGGAGACACCCCAGAGTACAGGTGCAGCAGCTGAGACCAGCACCTTCAATGACTTGCCCAAAGGTGCAGAGCTGAAAGTTGCAAAAGTGTGACCCACACTCAGGTCTCCTACACCCCAAGAGCCCTCAGAGAGCCTCCTAACCAAATAAGTGGGTAAGATTCACATATAATAAATGCCATCCTATTAGTATAGATGTTTTAAAGTCACTGACTTGATAAACCTAAGCTAATCACAGGTTCAGAGATGTGGAAAGTTGGATTCTTAATTGAGTTCATGCTAGCTCCAAGTTGAGAAATTATTTTCCCCAGTTAAGTTGGGCTGGTAAAATGTGTAACATTTATTCTCTTAATTTTTATTTGTGATTTGCTTGAAGTACTTTCTCTGATTCTCAGAATATCTTAAATGAATTATATAATAGTTCACAATCTACTCATGACAGTGAGTCTGAATGTTAAAACCAGGATTCCTTTAGATAACTATTTTACTGAAGAAAAGTTTTGTTCTTCAATAAGACTGCCATCTGGAGTTATACCTTATGCCACAATAGTGCCCAGGGTTGTAATTCTGTAGTTTTCTAGGCAAACAGGTACTTATACATTTATTTTATTTTTATTTTATTTTATTTTATTCTATTTTATTTTATTTTATTTTATTTTATTTTATTTTATTTTATTTTATTTTATTTTGATATCATTAATATACAATTACATGGGCAACATTGTGGCTACTAGATTCCCCCATTATCAAATCCCTACCACATACCCCATTATAATCACTGTCCATCAGCATAGTAAAAGGCTATAGAATCACTACTTGTCTTCTCTGTGTTATACTGCCTTCCCCGTGCCCACCCCCCTGCTACATTATGTGTACTGATCGTAATGCCCCTTATTCCCCCTTATCCCTCCCTTCCCACCCATCCTCTCCAGTCCCTTTCCCTTTGGCAACTGTTAGTCCATTCTTGGGTTCTGTGAGTCTGCTGCTGTTTTGTTCCTTCAGTTTTTGCTTTGTTCTTATATTCCACACATGAGTGAAATCATTTGGTACTTGTATGTCTCTGCCTGGCTTATTTCACTGAGCATAATACCCTCCAGCTCCATCCATGTTGTTGCAAATGGTAGAATTTGTTTTCTTCTTATGACTGAATAATATTCCACTGTGTATATGTACCACATCTTCTTTATCCATTCATCTACTGATGGACACTTAAGTTGCTTCCATTTCTTGGCTATTCTAAATAGTGCTACGATAAACATAGGGTTGCATATGTCTTATTGAGACTCGGAAACTGTATTCTTAGGGTAAATTCCTAGGAGTAGAATTCCTGGGTCATGTGGTATTTCTATTTTGAGCTTTTTGAGGAACCTCCATACTGCTTTCCACATGGTTGAACTAGTTTACGTTCCCATCAGCAGTGTAGGAGGTACCTATATATTTTATATGTGTTTCAAATAACATCTGGCATTTTTAAGGGCAATCTCTTTTCAAGTCAGAAAATATGTGAATGGGTGCTTTGATGTTTAGTTAAAAATGGAAAATTTGTCTTTTGGACATTTTAGAAGTGTCCATCAAAGAACATGGAACTGTCCATCAAAGACCTTTGGAAGATTAGTTGGTTTTGGGCCTGAGACTCTACATAAGTAGAGCAGATTTTAAAATTCTAAATGGTTTTGATGTCATATGCATTTCAGTTGTATGTGAGAACTCGTTAGGTTCTTTACAGACCTTTTATTTGATTTAAAACCTAGTAAGATCTGATGTTTTCTAAGACATCTTTTAAGCCTACCAAGTGTCCCTAGGTCCTTTTACTAAAAAGTAAAATTCTTTAGAATTACAAAAAAAAATCTGAGATAGGCTTGGAAAGGCTAGTAAAGATTACAAGTAGACAAGACTTTTTGGAGGTGAAGAGGAAAAATGTGTCACAGAGCGACAAAATCTATCCAATTGTACAACAGAAAGTTTCCTGATAACATCCACTTCTTGATACCATCAATTAAATTATGCATTTCTTTGTGCTAATTTGCAGTATGTAGATGTATTATTGTACATTTTGTTTTATATCTTTTTTTTTCTTAGTTGTTAAAAGTTTTGTATTTAGGAGAATCTTGAAAATCTCAGATATACTTGTCAGCTGTGTGACCTTGACAAGTAATTTGTGAGCAAATCAACTTTGGCATCCAGAAGCCTCAATTTCCTCATCTGCAAAGTGGGGACAATAATGTTTCCCACAGGGAGGATTAAAGGGACAACACCTGCAAAGCTGTCATCAGGGTGCCTGGCAAGAAGCAGCACAGGAATGGCAAGTGTCATTATTTCCCTGGGAAGGATGCAGGGCACCTAAAGACTTGTGTAAGCGGAGTGACCTCACTTAACACTCAGCAAGAATTCCAGAAAACAAGCCACAGCTTGTGGGTGCACGCGTGTGTGTATGTTTGTGTGTGTGTGTGTGTGTGTGTGTGTGAGAGAGAGAGAGAGAGGAGATAAAACTAAAAGCAAGGCTCAGTTCCAGCCTGAGTTCGGGTAGTTGGGAGGCTCTGACTGGTGCACAGCCACGGTGTCCCCAGGGCAGTAGATGGACGAGGACAGGATGAGGACAGGGGGAGAGTCGGCGTCTGGGAGGATCCTGTATCTCTACAGGCCACCTCCAAGGTCAGGGGACCCGTTCAGCCAATAGTGGTTTTGAAAGACTTAACATCAGAGGTGCCAAACTGTGGTGAATACCAGATAGAGCCAAAAACCAGGTATAATCCCTCTTCCCAAGGAGACTGTAGTCTCATGGATTGTAAGGGAGAAAATGGCCTTGAGTCCAGGCCAAGGCGTTGCTGTAAAAGGACAGTCCAGTGTGACAGAAAGGAGACAGGCCCTCCATTATGAGGCAAAATAACAAGTTAGGACCAGGAGAAGGAGCCTAATCAGGTGGCAGTGATGGAATAGACACCCTGGGAGTGTGGAGGCGGCAGGCACCGTTAGCGGACCCGGGCACCGAAGCAGAGCGGGACAGGCGCACCTGTGGGAAGGCGCCTTCGTGATGAGGGCCGGTTCAGGGTGAAGAACAGGAATAGCTGTTGTTTCTTCCCCCAGCTGCTGTTGA